CGAAGTGGCCAGACCCCTCTCCCAGTCCAGAGCCTTTCCCCACACTTTGCTGGTCCCAGGTGCTCACCACATCCAGCTGCAGGCTGTGCTGCTTGGCCAGTTCCAGCTCCTTGTGTTGCTTCTCTGTTCCTTTTGGCTCTGAGCACTGCCAGTCTGCTGCTCAACACAGGCTCTGCACTCCCTGTGCTGTGTATGCCTGGCTCTGCTGCTGCAAAAACTGCCCCTCAGCACAGCTTGCACTCCTCTTAGCAGTGTCTCAGCTCTCTGTTCCTTTTGCAGGACTCCTTCATACAGCTTGCACTGCTCTTTTCAGCTCTCTGTCTTTGCAGGACCTCTTCTGCACACAGCTTGTTTGTTTAGAGAGAGAGAGAGAGCCAGAACAATCCCAGCTCACAGGGAGGACGGGGCCTGGCCTCTCCCCTTCCTCACTGGCCTGTCCAACCTGTCAATCAGGCTGAGCTGGAGTGTTGGCTGCTTTCCATTGTCTCTGGGGTCAGTCAGTCTCATGAACTCTTCCCCTTCAGATACTGCGAGCTGGCAAACCAAAAACTCCCACAGAGTTTTAGTAAGGGGTAACAGTCCCCTTACACACAGGTAAAAATGACACACTGTAAAGCAGTAGAGAATCAGGACCTACAGGTATTGGGACATTCACTTCCCAAAAACTTTGCTGACCCAGAATTAAGCTTGAGCACCAATGCTATATACCCTTCTGGAACACTGTGGACATCTGTACTTAAACATCTTAAAACCAGGAAATGCAGAGTTAAGGCATCTACCAGTGCCAATCTGCAATCTTAACTCTGCCCTCGGAAGTCGTCCAGGGCCACTTCAGCCAACCCTGCCCTATTATAAACAGGCATAAGGAATGACTAAGTAAATGTGCCATTTTATGTGGTTTGTTAGATTGCACAGAGTTATATTCTCCCATTCATCTTCATGCTTACCAATTGTCCTTCACTATGCCAGGAACAAATGTATTGTCTAGTGCAGGGATTAGTTTACCACTCCTCACGCCGTGGTATAAAGAGAGGTGTAGCTTCACCAAACGGATCATAGATCCCCAGTTTCTGTGCTGAGTTATATGGATCATTCAAGTACAGGAGCATAGCAACTTAGCACTCATGACAGGGTAGAAGGGCATGCTAGTGATGTTCCAGAGGAAATCCTTAGAAAAGGAGCAAAGAGGTGTTATCTGCCCACTCTGGACCAGTTTGTGCACATTAGGTGAAGTGGTTCAATGCAAGCAGATGTAGCCAGCTGGTGTTCATTAATCCTGCCCTAAATGCAACTTTTCCCTTGCTGAGGTAGCAACTTAGCACTCATGACAGGGTAGAAGGGCATGCTAGTGATGTTCCAGAGGAAATCCTTAGAAAAGGAGCAAAGAGGTGTTATCTGCCCACTCTGGACCAGTTTGTGCACATTAGGTGAAGTGGTTCAATGCAAGCAGATGTAGCCAGCTGGTGTTCATTAATCCTGCCCTAAATGCAACTTTTCCCTTGCTGAGG